CTTTAAATATAAATACAAATATAAATTGTCCAAAATAAATATAAATGGTCCAGATATAAATAAAAATCAATCAAACCTAAATAACTAAAAAGTTAATAATGAGTTGAGTAAAAGTTGATTAAATTTAAATTTTATTGAATTAAATTTAGATTTAAAAATTAAATTAAATTTAAAATAAAATTAATTTACATCTTTTTTTAATTTTTTGTAAAGATAAAAATCCTCGCATAATCCCACTAAGTGAGAGAAATTCATTGTGAATTTTTACGACGAGAAATACCCTCCGTTCTCAGGAAAATTCTGCTGTATCTCGGGGATACCGTTGATGTGGTATCCTCGACCAATCACAGCATGCCGCGTCATTAATTTACTGTTAATTGAACTGACATGACTAATAAGGTAAAATTTTTTATGACGTGACATGCTGTGATTGGCTGAAATACTACATTAGCGATATCCCCGAGATACAACAGACTTTCTCCCGTTCCCAATACAAGAATTCTCGTGAGACTCCACGGAAATCAAGATCAATTACCATCCCTAGTGAAGGAGCCGACGGTCCAGAATGAGGGTTCATAACAGCAGAAGCCAAGTGGCTAATTATCAGCCAAGTTGCTAAGTATCTAGTTGGGTGAGGAGGCGACGGTCCAGAATGAGAGTTGATAACGACGCAGAAGCCAACTTGCTGCTGGATGTTCACACTTCACATCAGGGTTCAGCTTCAGCCCATTGAGGAGGCAACTTGGTGAGGTGACACCCTGATGGAAGATCAACAGCCTAATTTTCTTGGGATATCTTTTCCAACGGATGAAATTAATTGATGGTTAATTGATTTGATGACACCCCGATGGAAGAAGCCAACTTGCTGCTGCTGCTGCAGTAGTGCTCTGCTTTGTTTGTATAAATTTTAGTAATTAATTTCCTGTCTTTTCATTTTCTTTGCTTTCCATTTCATTATTAATAATGACAATTGGACTAAAAATTTAACTCTATACATTATTTTAAAACAATAAAAATTAAATTTTATATTATTTAAAAAGTTTTTTTATTTATATCATAAGACTATAAATTAAAAATATAATGAACATATATTTTATTATAAATTTATATTAAAAATATAAAATTAATTTATTTTAGTAATTATTTAATTAAATTTATTTA